CTTCTGGGATATAAGCATCACTGGCCACCTAAACATAATTGCAATGAACTGTTCCCATCAGACTCAATAAACGAGGCTAGCTCACCCACCCCGAAATGGAACCAATCGAAAGAGATTATGTGTCACAGCACACCTAAAAAGTCCTAAAAGTACATGTGGGTGTTTCTAGCCTCCCCTAAGGTTCAACCATGGCTACTTCCCTTGGTCGGGAAAAAAGACAACTGGGCACCCTGTCAGCAAAACATTTAGAAAAACACTGTTGTTCAATGTTCAAGCACTGACAAGCCTTTGGGCGCCTACTGTGCCTGTGCCTTGGCACCGGTCGTTTTTTCTTCGAAGCTGCTTTCTTCGAAGCAGCTTTCTTCGCAGTAGCGTTTCGCGGCTTTCTCTCACCACAGTGCTCTTTCATCAGCCTCAGCTGGAATGTATAGATCAGGAACCAAGACTGTACATACTATGGAAACGGAAACTACAACGGATGGGTGGAGCTAGATAGTTGCATTCCCCTCACCCAAATTACAGGAATATCACTCACCAGCCCATAGTCACACACAGAAATATTTTGACAGCAAGCAGCCGGGCTTTGGCTTGCTTAACCATGTCATTGGGGTCCTTGAAGCCATCAGACTCGGCCTGTTTCCTCAGCTTTCCAACAAGAAGGTCTGAGCATGAGAGCATGCATGCAAAAATCAGTGCACAATCACCAACACTAGCCACTGGTGATCGGCAAGACACTTTGTGTATTTTTGCCTCCCCTGAGGGCATATATACACATAGTATAGATCGCCTTCACGCTTCCCATTTCGACGCTTACGGAATTCCACCTTCCAGCCGTCCTGCACATCGAGCTGTTGGATCACTTCATATTGCCTTAGCTAGTATCCTATTTCCAAAGACAAAACATGGGAATTTCATGGAATGCACAATTGCAAAGGAAAGGTGCATTCTTGGTTCTTTGTCTTTTTTGGCGTTCATGATTTCCAACTGCTTCGATGGCAGAGGCACAGGACCGCACCCCTTTTGCAATGCAATTTGTTGTGCTCTGGATATCGTGACCTGATACTTAGAACTCATAAAGTCACAGAAGTCCTCAAAGGTCTCGATGTGGCATGCTTTTTCTTCCTAGCCAGGGGGAGGGCAACCAAATCCAAAGACATGGTATACTAATCACATGACTCACATGTGAAATCATGTGATGCTGTCAGGCCTGCTTCACCTCAACCTTGGGCTTTGTGGAGGCCGCCTTTGCATCCGGCTTTGGTTCCGCAGATGCAGCCGTTGGCATCACTCCTGAGTGTTCAAGGAAGGGAAAGTGGAAGGGATATTTGGAAACCACTGGTTCCAACGGGTCACCAATGGACAACCCTACACTGAACCACCCTTGGAAAGTCTTGGAAGCACAAAATGGCGTTGGGGTTTGACCAACTGTGTGCCAGCAAGTTACCAGAGCCCTTCTTCCGCATCCGATGTGCCGGTTGAGGAAGCTCTGCAGGCTCTTTCTTCACCACAGCTTCAATCTTCAGTCCCTCCTTCTGATCAGCCTCACATGTACAAGTTTTTTGGGACGTACGTTGCCAAGCAAAGGACTTGAGATCATCAAACCAACAGCAGTTGATCCCAGGGTCATCCAATGGGTGTCCAATAGACTACCCTACCCTACTTACAGGTCTCCATTGGACACCCGTTGGAAGTGCTAGGGATTGAGTACTCTGCAGGCACAGGGAAACATAAAATATATTAAATTGGACTTGGAGTAACTTCAGCATCTATCAGAGCCATAGCCTCAGAAATAGTAATTTGTTTCTTGCAGTGTAGCTTTGCCAATCGGACCACATAAGATGATGGCAAGCTGGGGTCAAAAGGGGTAGATTTCTTCGTTCTTGTCCACCTCTTCAAATCAGTCTTTGGGTATTGTGTTCTGATGTAGGAGGGGCCTGCCTCGTCCACAGTGTCTTCACATTCAACTGCATCACTGTCGCACTCATGTTCTTCTTCACTGGGGCTGGAACTGTCACCATTGTCATCACTGCTGCTGGTGGTGCTGCTGCTGCTGTCACTTTTGGTGTCTTCACTCTCTTCATCATCAGCCGCCTCCTTCTTCTGATCCTTTACTTCACCTTTTGTTGTTTCATCCTCCCTGTCAGACTCTTCCTCATCAGCCTCATCCTCCTGATGCTTGGAACCGTTGTGCTTGTCATGCAACTTCCTTTCATCCTCATTTTCCTCTTGATCTTCCTCTTGACTTTCTTGTTCTTCTTCACTCAGGCATGTTGCACCACTTTCATCTTTCTCTTGCTTTGCTGCCTTTGGTTCACTTTCATCGTCCTCCACTTCAATGTCAGGTGCTTCGTTCTCACTCATCTCTTCAGCACTCCCTGCACCATTATCATCCTCCATGTCTTCACCACTCTTTGGCAGCTCCTTCTCACCCGTCTTCTTCATTTCACGCGGCCTCTTCTTTGGCTCTGGTGGTGACGGGGGGTCATCAGTGTTGGGATCCATCTCATCATCAGGGATGCCCGTCCCCTCACTTTCAGCATTTTCATCCCACATCTCTTGTAGATCTGTCTCTTCAGACACTTCTGCTTGAGCTGCTCTAGCTGCGTCTTGCTTGTCGATTTCATCCCGCAGGTCAGCAATTTCCATCAGAAGCTCAGCTGTCTTTTTATCATCCTCCTCTTGAGGGGTCGCCTTCCTTTTTTTTCTGGCAGGGCCTTCTTCCTCATCGCTCTCACTTTCTTCCTCCTCATTGCCACCCTTTGGCTCTTCTTCCTGCTCATTGCTCTCCTTTGGATTTGCTTCCTCCTCATCGCTCTCCCTTGGATCTTCTCCCTCATCATCACTTTTCTTTGGATCTTCTCCCTCATCATCGCTTTCCTTTGGATCTTCTCCCTCGTCATCATCACTTTCCTTTGGATCTTCTCCCACCTCATCGCTTTCTTT